GGGGTCGGGGGTGTGGGGGGTCTTTCCCTCACCTGGTTTCTGCGGGTTCACTCCCCATCTCAGGCCACAGGCCAACCCTCCATCTCCCCAATAAAGGGCACCTAGTTCTGTGCCCCCTGCCCCCCAATGAAGCCCCTGCCCCAGTCCCTAACCCACCCTCTCCCTCTAAGAAGCCTGGGCTCCTGCCCCACAGAAGGCCCCGCTGGCTGCAGATCATGGGGAGACACAGGGTGTGAGTGGGGTGCGCTGGCTTCAGAGGGCACATGAGCAGAGACACGACTGTGGCAGGACTCACCTGGCTTCTGGGGCTTCATGCCTCCCCCAAAGCCTGAAAGGATTGGGGAGCAGGTGAGGGACTCAGGAGCCCCGCTCAGGCCTCCCCAGGCTCCTACCCGCTCTACTCCTACCTGCTCCAAATCCGTTCTGGGTTGCTGGGCCTGGGGGAAAGGGAGGGTGAGCTGAGGGCTGGGGGTCTGGCTGAGGTAGAGGTAAAGGTGCCCCCTCTTGGGCCAAGTCAGAAAGCTGGGATTCTAGAGCTTCCAACTAAGTGCTCCCTCAATTATTCACCAGTCCTGCTCCTCTGAGGCATGGGAGGGAGGCAGGAGAAGACACCCAGACATAGACCCACTCCCGGTATCACCTGGCTGGGCCCCAAGCCTGTGCCCATTCCCATTCCTGAATCCTGGGGACACAGATCCGGGTGTGCGTGTGAATGAGGGGAGGGGAGCTCAGGGTTTGGGGGAGGTGAAGAGAAAAGGCTGGGGTGAGGCTCACCTGGCTTCTGGGGTTTCATGGCCACTCCAAAGCCTGGTGGAGAGACAGGCAGCACTGAGGGCCCCGGGCCCCATCCCTGCGCCTCCCCAGAGCCCCGGCCCTCCCCTACCTGGTCCATAGCCATTCTGAGCTGCAGGGCCTGTGGGGAGAAGGTGGGGGGATGGTAAAGCTGGCTGTGGGCTGAGGGGCTGAGGCCAGCCCTGGGGGCCCCCTGGTCTTGCCTCCCACTTCTCTCCTCATGGTCCTTGGGGCCCTGACACCCTCCACTCCTGAAGCAGAGAGTGTCCCCCTTGCTAGAGGTAAGCAGACCCCGCTCCATGCATTAGTGCTGAGGAAGGTGGTGCCAGAGAGATAGACCTGAGAGAAATGAGGACAGGATGGCTGTCCTCTCACCTGGCCCAGGGCTTTCCCACCCCTTCCCAGGCTTGAGAGGCAAAGAGGCTGACAGCCTCTGCCAGGCCTTCAGCCCCTGCCCCTG